TAATCTAACTATATATAGCACTTGTTAGTATATAAGATCTAAAATAGCAGCGCGAAATATTTAGTTAGAATCTAGAAAAATTACTTCTCGAACTTTAGCATGTTTTGTAGCCAGGAATAAGCTTACTAAGCATTACGTAATATAGTCATTATAAACTACTTGATATCTAGTTTTCAATGGACTAACCCGTTTAAGTATAGGTGCTCTATAAGCTGAGTTATCATCTTTTAAAAACTATTACTTTTTTAACTACGTTTTTTTTTTGTCACCCCCCTGTATATATATAATAAAATCTTAAAAAACTTAAAAATTTAAGCGCGAAAAAAATACAAATATCTATAGATTTCTAAAGCACGCGGTTTTCGGTTTATTTTAGCTAATAAAAAGGCTGACTTACAGTCACGTGACTACCCTATACTGAACTAGGACATCTTGGCTTTAAAATGCATTAACCCGTTTTAGAATAGCTTTTCTAGTTATAAAGTAATAAATGTTTAAAAACGATAACTTTTTGGATTTGGACTTTTTTTTGTCACCCCACTGTAATAAAATCTATACATCCTTACATCCTCATTGCTTCTAGTCTTGCTATCCCCTCCATCATTGTTACCATAGAGATAGTGCTTCTTGGCGGGATGTTAATCATGTAATCTTTGGCCCTGAAAGATCATCACCTTCTAACGTAGACATTGGTTGACCTTTAGCGTTCTTGTCCCTGTCAAGGAGAGAATTCTTCCTATTACTTGCAATGAAGAGGTCGTGGATGAGGAGAAGGGGCATTTCGCTCCTTGTGGGGTCCAGTATACCTACGGGTCATGCAGGACTCCCAACTAGGTGTAGTAGGTCTATTTTGTAGCTAACTCAGAATATATTAATCTAAGTTTCCTACTGTTTGATTGGTAAATATAGATTCGCTCTTATAATCTGATACAAGTAAGCTGACTTCTCTTATATCCTTCATAAATGTTCATAAAATAGTTTGAGAACACAAAAAAAGGTATGTTTGATAGCCTATAGCTCTTGAGTAGAAAAACCAAAAAGAATGGTATAGAACTTTAGTAGGAGAGGATGAGAAAAGGCTATTGAACTACACTATGGTGGGAAGACGCTTTGGTATAAAACATTGACAAATCCAACATTCATTACTTCGACAGAAACCCCTGCATGTTCCGTCGTAGTTAGGGCTAGGTCTTACATACGTACAACCTTACCCCGTATTAAACCCCGTTACATCTGAGTCTAGAAGTTGACCCATGTCTTGGAGATATTTCTCCCACTTCAATACTTGCATTGGTAATATGTCTCTGTGTTGATAACAAGCAAGAACACCTGATTAACCATACCGGGAGCCTCTACAGCTTTGTTTCCTTGTTATTCTGTTTCATCATAGCTATACCCCGCAGATTTATCAACAATCAAGCTAGGTTAAACCTGTCAATCAAACTGAGTAGATACAAAGGTTGTCACAGTGGAAATGAGCAATGGTCTGTGGAATCTCTATAAAATGGATCTGATGAAGCTGGCACTCTCGGGATCGAAAGTATCGCGGGTACATCTAACTATTGTCATGTCACGTGTTAGATATCAAGCCGCTGTGACCTTACCTCATTCTGCTCCTGTGGCCAAACTGGGAGAAGACAGGTCGCCCATAGTTGTTGACAACTCTGATACCTCGGACCGATGCGGCTCTTCTTCTCTCTGTGTATACGAAGGAAGAGGTGAGCGGAGGAATATAAATACTACGAACTATTGTACCCAATGTTATCAACAATCAAGACTTCAATACCATCACACTTCCTCAACTCCTCCACTCACCTTCCTCGATCTACGGTATCCACCTGATTAATCGCGAAAATGCAACTCCACTTCGTCTCTATTGTCGCTACCGGCATGCTCTTGTTTTCTGGTTTCGCAACAGCTCAGGTCCAGCTCATATGCCATGGATCCCAGATTATCTCTGGCGGTCCATGCACTGGTGGCTCCGGCGTATCATGCTAGCGTAACGCTGGTGCTTCAACATTTTCTGGGAATTGTGATGGCAAAGGTGCAGGTTGATATCGGTATAGAGTTCTACCGTACGAAGAGAATACTAATATGACAATAGGGATGTTTTACCAATACAAAGAAAGCATCGCACAACGGCCGTCGCAGATCTCAGAGTACGTGGGATTTATTCTGGTTGCATGGGGAGGGACAGCAATTCCAGTAATGAGTAGGCTTTGGTTTCATATCAGTTTGATTTGCACCAACGTTGCGACTTGCAACTTATATCTATATTTTGTGGAGTTGAATCTCATTAGACTATGAGCATATATGGTGTTTGGTTTTGGAGCAGATAGGCACTTCTATCACTCATTTCAACATCAACTTTCCATGCTACCAGTAAGGTTGGCCTCAGTACGACATAAATTAAAAGTCATATCCTAATCAATTAAGGAATCGAAGTATTATTTGGTGGATTTTACTATCGTCCTTTATTAATGAATAATATGTAGACATACTGATACACGCGAGAAGATCATCTGGCGTACCATGTCGTTTGAAACTACCACGCGATGCGTGCAATCGGCCCGTTTGACCACATCCTAACAGCCAACTTCCTCATCTCATCCATGACTATAATACCGAGCGCCAATGGTATTGGAATGAGCCAGAACTCCATGGGTACCGAAGCAGTACCAAACAGATTCTGTATGCCTTCAACTTCCGTTACAAAGATAGCAATGCACAAGCTGACAAGAATACCCGCAGCGAGCCAAGGATTGCGCCTGTCTTTGCGGAACGGGTCGGCCTGTAGGATGCTGAGGTGCTTGTTGCGGATAGATAGAATATTGACCCATTGTAAAATGACAAGAGTGACAAAGTAGACGCATTGCCCGACGGTGTTGAAGTGGTTGAGTTCGTCCATGCTGTACCCATAGAAACCGTCTGTATACTTTTCGTAGGCAAAGAAGAGGGCGGAAGCAGGTATCTTTGCATGACGCCACATAAAGGAAGAACATGGAATGCGCGCAGATAGTCTGCATCACTCCAATGAAGAGATATGACTGTATGTAGATCTTGACGTTGATGAGATGATCGCGCTTGGTATGTCGCGTACGTAGTGAGAGAAGATCAAACTCCTCACGTTCCATAATAAGGGAGAGCGAGCAGAAGAGATCCGTGAAAACACAAATGATAATCACGAGAAAAGAGCTCAATGGAAGGGGTACTTCAAAAGAAGACATTCAGGAGAACGGGCCATATCTCAGACCAGGACCCTGCGGGCAGGAGGTATCTGTGTCAACGAGTTAGTCACGTATTGCCTTGCTAGAGTCGATGGGCTTACCCAATAACTTTCTGAAGGTTCTGAAATACAAGTCGCCCAAGACGAATACCATCGATGATTGAAGAGAACTTATCCATCAGGACCAAGTCGGAGGCTTCCAGAGCAACATCAGAACCGGACACAATAGCGATACCTACATCGCTAGCACGAAGGGCAGGGGCATCGTTAACCCCTTCTCCAGTCACAGCGACTACATTTTGACGTCGCTTGAGCTCATTGACAATGCGCAGTTTCTGTTCAGGTGTTGTGCGCCCGAACACAATTTCCTCGTATTGACAAACCACGTCCCAATCAGCGTCGCTCAGATCGCCAAGTTGCGTGCCTTCGAGAAGCAGAGATTGGTTTTAGGAGCTGCTGGAGATGGTTTTCGCAGTCGCCACACCTCTAGAAGCATTGTGATCTATGATTTTCGCTATTGTGTCCGGTTCTCTATCACTAGAGAAGATGCCGATTCGCCGGGCGATTGCAGCTCCCGTGAGACCAAAGTCACCTGTAACCATGAAGAATCTGATACCAGCTCTACGACATGTTGCAACAGTTTCAGCTGATTCTGGGTGTGGGGGGTCGAGGATGCCCAAAATGCCGATGATAGTGAGATCAGTCAGAGCATGCTCAGTAAGTTCGTCCGAAAAGGCGTTGGAGCGCAGGGATGCAACTGGCCCATATCGCCGCTGGCAGAGCATGATAACACGTTCTGCATTACGCGAGAGTTTCTCTTGTGCCTGGGATAGAAGGTGACACGCTTCACTATCCAGTGGTTGGACAGTGTTTGTATGGAATGACAGCCAAGAGGAGCATTTTGGGAGTAGCACATCGGGCGCGCCTTTGACAAGTACTAAAAATTCTGGCTTTTCCGATTCTTTGCATTTCTTCCCTTGTTCATGTACCGAGAGCATCCATTTGTTCTTTGAGTTGAACGGGATCGAAAAGACGCGAGGGAAAGTCTCGTGGAGAGGACGCCCCAGTTTCGCCCCTTCAGCAAAGCGTAACACAGCTCCATCGGTCGCATTGCCTTGAATGGCTCTTTCGTTTACGGGCAATTGAATAGTTGTTGGATCAAACATGGCGTCGTTGCACAAGATGGCGGCCTTATGGAGGTCTTGCAAAGCCCCTGGATAGCTTTCAGAAGCGAGCATAGGCGCAAGGTCATCAGCAGACTTCAGCTCGTCCACAAATCCTATTGAAGTGACAGTCATTTTGTTCTCAGTCAGAGTGCCTGTCTTGTCGGAACATATGACGTTGACACATCCGAGAGTCTCAACTGTAGATAGTCCTTTGGGCAAGACATTGGCACTCTTCATGCGTCGCGCTACCATCATGAGCGTCAGCGCTACGCCAACGGGCATACCCTCGGTAATGAATGAGGCGACACAACCCATGACATTGTTGAGCATGGCGATGACGGAGAGGAAGCCCTTGTGGTCTTTTCGTAACCACCCGACCCAAACGAATAATAATCTTTTATACGGTCAGCTTTTTCCATGAATAATCTGGTCTTCGGACTTACAAGAGCGCAAGGAATACCGTCAAGCATACGATAATATAGACGAATCGACTAATCTCGCGTTGGATAAGGGTAGGTTCTTCCTTGACTCCAGACGTTGCCTGCGCGATACGACCCATGACAGAATTCTCTCCTATCAACACAACAATGCCAACAGCGCTGCCATTGACCACCATAGTTCCCATGAAGGAGATGTTGCGCGACTCGAGGAAGTTCTCGTCCGTAGAATCAAGCGCACTGTCGACTTCCTCGGCTTCTCCAGTTATCATCGAACGATCGAACCGTACATCGCCCAAAGTGGTCAACAAACGCATGTCGGCAGGTACTTTGTCGCCGATGGAAATACGAACAATGTCACCGACGACTATATTAGTAGAAGGAACCTTGATAAATGAGCCGTTACGGAGGACCATCGCATCTGAGGGAAGTAAGTCCAAGATTGATTGCATCGTTCGCTTCGTTGACCAATCTTGGAAGGCCGAGAAGCAAGCTTGAAGGAGGATGACGATGAGCACTAAGATGGCCAGGCCCAGGTTATACGCTGCAGGGTGAGGGTCTCCCAAAGGCCTCCAGCATATGAAGAAGATGATGACTCCAATCCATAGAACGGAGCAGAAGCCTCCAAACACATACCAAAAGATTTTCCGCCACGTGTGTTCGGGTGGGCTAGGGATCGCATTCTTGCCGTCGCGTTAAAGCCGTGTGGCAGCTGCCTCTTTGCTGAGACCCTAGTTCTGAAAGACGTTAAAGCAGTCGCAGACGCTCTTCGTACTCAGTGTGTGGTAGTCGAGTTGTCCAAAGTAATCGCTGTTCGCGTTCTTGGTATCTTCGCCGTTTTTCAATGGCGGATCTCTTGCTTTGGCTTTGCTCTCGCTCACTTGGATGGAAAGCGTGCGGAACTCGGTAGGAATGCCAGATGCAGAGTGTGTACGACTTCGAACACTCGAAATAGAACCTTGGCTTCTACTGCGCGATTGGCGGCGAACGGTTCTACCATCTAAACGGCCCCTCCCGGGATGATTGACATCCTCCCAGACAATATAGGGTGTTTTCTCTTGCTTCTCGATGTCGTTTATATCTCCAGTAGGTTCGGTCTCTTCGTGATCGTCAGGCACATTGCATTTACTGGAAGTCATTGCTGAGGATGCTCTGTGGATTAAGCTGACGGTACAGTGTGGCAGTCTACTTCAGAAAGAGCTTCCTAGGAATGGAAAGAGAAAAAACGCAAGCCGGTTTGTGTGGTTCTGTAATCGCGATCAAGCGCGATCAAATAAGACAGACATGCCATCGTACTGAAAGACTCCGTGGCCTAGGCCGACGGCAATTGTAAATGAGGCTTTTGCTGTCATAGCGGCCTGTAGCGCAAGTCACAAGCTACACCAAATGGTTTTATCATCAACGGCCCGAGTCGTGTGTAGCCAACCAGCTTGATGCGTTTCCCTCCGTCATCCGGCCAAGAAAAATGCCTCATAGTAAAATACCAAAATCAGCCCGTATAGGTTAAGCCAATTGGACATTAGGCGCCTCCAGATCTGTGGCTGAATTCGGAGATTTGTCAGATCGTGTGAAAGCTCCCACAGTTGCTTGACAGTTTCCTTATGCTAGCTTGTGGGATATAAAAATGAGGGATTTAATGCTCGCAAACCACGTGCAGAGTCTACACTCTCCATTTGTTCCTTATTTTTACTTGATACAAACTGCTCAATAGCTTCTGAAAAGAAAGCTACGAGCCAAAGCCCTTCCACAGCACTAGAAAAGCACGCTGACTGTTTGTAACCCATCCATAGCGGTAGTAAGGGTCGTTGCACTGCGTGTTATGATTATCAGGGACTTTCCATAGTGCCCCGAGGTGGTACTTATATTGCGGGGGGAGGACTCTAGCAGCATAGTATACAGGCGCGTCGCCAAACTTGGAGTAGTACTGTGAGTTTCTTGTGAGTCGAGTTAATGTTGAGCATAATGTAGTTAGATGGATGGAACCACCTGCAAGTGGTTATATACTTCCGTATTTTCCTCGCTTTCTTTGAACGATACTGAAACCAATTTTGAGTAAAGGATGATTTTTAAAACCACGAACATTTCTCTCATTCCAGGGGTGTGAGTCTAGGCTGCCTTGTTTGGGGTATTGGTGTAGGTGCCTTCGGCGCCGCCCCTCTGCCTCCACATGACATAGCTTAGTTGAAAGAAAATCTATGTCTCCAAATACCCATGCATAGGTTAGCACTTGCGCACAGATAAAAAACGATGCTTTTACCTCCCTTTTTCACGCCGTATAGAGCTAATAAAGAAGAAAAAGAAAAGAAGAGTGTTCTAGTAGTATTAACGTATCCTTTCGTGGGCAGTGCTCGGTATGAAAAGGTGTGGGCGTACAGTTAGTATCTCACAATTATACGTACTTAAGAGTGATTTCCAAAGATTCAGTAGGGGCACTCGTCGTGAAACTTTGGGTTACCATGCGCAAAGAAAATTCAGCATTATCATCTGCCACTTCATCATATGAGGGAACAGAAGCAACATAGTGCAAATTTAGGCAGTCTTCCTCAGTGAGGCCGTTGTTCCTTTTCAGTGTGACAGAATGCTTCCTTTTATACAGTGGGGTGACAAAAAAAAAAAGAACTCAAAAAAGTTGTGATTTTCAAACATCCATTGCTCAATGGGTATTAGCGCTAAACTAATAAAAAATATATCGTTGAATAGAGAATTTCTTGGCGTTTAAGATATTAGTCTAGTAAGGTTGCTTAGTCAGCAGCAGGAAGGCTATTTATCCTCTTAAACGTAGAGTAAAAAAATCTTCTAACTTTAGCTCTAAATTTCGCGCTGTAAATTTTGACTTTTTTAATATTAGTCTATATATATTAGTAATATACTTACTAAGTAATTATATAAGTATCTTAGTTATTAAAGTTTATACGTTAAATATATAGAAATAAATTAAAATTATTTTTAGGTACTACTTATATAAGCTCTATATTAGTCAGTGATTAGTAATATTAGAGTATATATTAATATTTTTTCTCTCTTAGAAACTTAGAACTATATTCTCCTCTTATGTACGTAAAATTATTAAATTTCGAATCGCAACTCGATAGGTTACTAGAGGCAAACGTACTACTAGTAAACATTATTAAATACTTTAATAAAAGCCCCCGTGCTATTTATAACGCTAAATACCGAATTAAAAAAAAGAAGACAAGTTATTTTAACTAAGAAAGAGCTAGTAGAGGCAGGGTTTCTAAGGTATCTTCTAGAGCTTTAAGAGCTATTAATAGAGATATTATTAGAAGTCCTAAGAAGCAAAAGAAGCGTTTAATAAGAGAAAATAGTCTAGATATTTCTTCTAGAACGCTTCAAAGGGTTCTTAAGGATCAAGGTTAGACCGTTAATATCTGTTCTAAAAAATAGATTTTAAACGCCTCTAGAGCTAAAAAGAGACTAGCCTATGCTAAGAACCAGCTAAAAGAACTTTCTAGTATTAATTTTAGAAAGATTATATTCTCAGACGAGTGTGGAATCGAACGTGGGCATGGATCTCGATCAGAATATATGAGAAAACGCAGAAATCAGCAGTTAGGCTAAAAGCTTATTTCTACCAAGAATAAAAGTACGTTTAGATTAATATTTATATTTTCCAATATTTACCTATAAAATCTATTTTTAAGATATTATATTCTTATTATAGTAGCTTAATTACTAATAAAGATATAGATCGCGATATTACTATCCAAGTTTGGGCTGCTATTTAGGTAGGAGGAAGATCCGATATAGTAGTTATTAAAACGCCAAAATCAACTATTAGCCATCAGAATTCCCACTATATTCGAAAGTGCCTAATACCTTACGTTAAACCTCAGATTAAAAGAGGTAAGTAATATATACTAATTTTTACTTATATTTCTATATTTCTCTACATATATATAAATATTTATATTACTATATATATTAAACTAATTAATAACTCTAGGTTGGAGTTTTCAACAGGATAATGCCAAGATCCATAAGGCTAGAAACGTTTTAAGCTGGTTTAGACGAAACCACATTAAGCTATTTCCACATCCACCTTATAGTCCTGATTTAAATCCTATAGAAAACGTATGGAGCTTATTAAAGGATAGGCTTACTAAGCTACCTAGTGTTAGAGATATAAGCTAATCAGCTAATCTCTGACATAATCCGGGTGATCAGCACTATACTCGGATTCTTTAGTCAACCAATCCCTACACAATTTATCTATCTATTACGTCTATAGCTACGTAATCTACTACTAGATAGATTCTTCTAGAATCTAGTACAGCTAATATATATAGTAGTAGAATAGCTAGTAGATAGTACCAGAGCAGATTACAAGAACAGATCAGACTACTAGATCAGATCAATCCAATCCTTATCTCTCTCCCCTAGCATTATTTCTCTCTTTTTATCCTAGAACCTATCGATTCGCTATCTCTGAGTCTATCGCTAGACAAGTAGACGACTCTACCTCTGAGCTAGCTATAGAACAAGTAGCACCCTCCTTATTTCAACA